AATTTTATGACCACAAATCTAACTTATCATATTTGCTATAGATAAAAATCAGATATAAAAGTATTATAGGCTTGAATATAATAAAAAGACTGAAGATAAATCAGAAGCCTAACCTTGATCATACAAGAGAAGAGATAGAACAGAATATAAGAATCTTAATATTGAAGCTAGGCTTACTGATGACTGATGTGGATATATTTCTTTACAATATCCTCAAAACCAATTTACTAAATATCAATCTTTCTGAACTTTCATAATATGATTCAGAGATGAATATGATTATTTCTGATAATTCAACATTAGTAAAAAATTTAGAGACAAGACAGAAATAACTTTTTTTAAAGCCCTATAAGAATATGAAATGTAATTTTCTCACTTTGGTTATTGCAAGATATGATGAATTCATAAATAAATATAATAATATTAAAGTATCGGATGTACTCATGAATATTATACATAATAAAGAATGGAAAGAGAAAGATGTTAAATTATTAAAATAAATAAATTATATATTAAGCATTTTGTAGGTATTTTTTATTTTTCTATTTGATTTTAAGAAAACTTTTTTAATTATTTTTAATACAGAGAGAAAGTATAAAATAATCTAGCATTTGCAACTAGCAAAATATGTAGTTCTCAAAGTGAAGAAACTTATATCTCAGATATTATTATATTTTTGCTTTGGGCCAATTTGAATAATCTTCCAAATAGTAATATTTATATGAGTATTACGGAATAGCAGAGTATAGCAAGTAAGATCCAAAAAAGTCTTGGGATAAATGAAAAAAAGAGTTCATGCTCTTCCAGAGTGCTGATAGGAAAAAAACCTGATGTTATAGTGATAAAAAAATATGGAGGTAAGATTTTTGAACTTGCTTATATAAAATCTTCATGAATCATTTACACTAATTCAAAAAAAGAGGATGATTCTGTAAAATTATAGAGAGAAACTCTAGATGGAATAAGTTTTGTCAGTATTACTTATAGATCAACAAGTAATCAATTTGATATTGTTAAAATTCAAGTGGCTGGTGAGAATTTATATCTAAATATTTTAGTAAGAGATGCAAATGGAATATCAAGATATTTTCATCTTATTCAAGCTCAAATATCTTTTACAAAAAGTACAAGCCTCTTATTCATCTATTACTAACTTTGAGAAATATTACAATTGTAAACAAAAGCTTATTAATACAAGCATTAAAGCAAGCTAATATATATCTGCCTCAAAATATTAATCTAAGTCTCACAGTTTCTTTACCATTATATGATTAATCTTTGTAATATTTTAATCCTTTATATTTTTATATATATCAATAAAATAGACTTGATGGCAATATTCATATCTGTGTAAAAATCTAACAAAAAAACAATTATGTAAAAAATCATATTTACTAGATTGTAATATCTGATCCAGTTAGCTAATATAAATAATTATCTATTAAATCATATATCTCATATATGTAGTAATACTGAAAAATTAATTATCATTATATACTTATAGCATATTCCAAAATAAATTTAATATTCAAAATAGATTATATAACAATTATTCAGATATAGAATGACACATTATTACATAGTAACAGAACTTTATTCCTATTAATATATATATTTATTATATTACAATATTATATGTGATTGAGAATTTTCTTGGTAAAAGTGATTAGTAGTAATAATGTTCACACACATAAATATTTTTGATTAATTGAATATATTTATATATTATATATAAAAAATGGCAAATACACAATCTAAAGTTGATGAGTTAAAAACTCAAGACTCTATCTCTTTATTAGAAGAACAAAATTTGAAACTTATAGCTAAGATTGTGGAACTAAAAAGAGAAAAGACTGAATTCCTGGCCAAGAAAGTGGATTTTATAGCTAGAATTATGAAATTAGAATAATTTTTAAAAGATTATGAAGCTAGATTTGTAAATCTCAAGCAAAAAGATAATGAAAAGACTATTTATATAATAAAGATAGATGATAAAATTAAGGAAATTAAAAAATCTTCAGTCTATAAGGCAGAATACTCTGTATCTAATATCACATTTATCAAAATAGAAAATTCTATTAATATTCTTATATCTAATATAACTAATAACACTTCAAATTCTGATATTTCTGAAAAGGTAGAAAAAAGTTCTAATATATACCAGAAAAAAAATAGTTAATATCTTTCATCTCCTACCTACACAGAACTAAAAGATAAAATGATCAATAATTTTCTGGATTCAGTATATAAGGAATAGGTTAATAATGAGATAAGAGAGAGAAATTAGGAAAAAAAGTTATTACAAATTAATAAAACTCCTATTTCTCAAGATCAAGATTTGATACAAAAAAATCTCTTATTCAAAATTAATCAGAATCTTTCAGAAGAAACTATTAGTCAAACACAAAGTACCATTTTCTCTAAAGTAAAAATTTCCTATAATCAAAAGATTAAACAAGATTTAATATATGAGTTATCTACATTTATTAATGAGAAAAGCCTTTCAAATTCCATATCTGATAAATAAATTCTTGAAAATATGCTAGATGGCAATAATTCAATACTGGATTTTGCATTATATTTAGCCCATTTATTCAATAAGACTAAAAAAACTAGTTAAAAAGAAATTTTATATTGGTATTATTATAGCAAGAAATTTGAAAAAAAGATTAGAGATATTAACTTAAAAAGTAAACTTAATGATCAAATGGCAAGAACACAGATTTATAATGAAATAGAACCATTTCTTCTTGGCATCAAGAGAGAGTATTTACATAAAAGACCAGAAATATTTATATATTATTTAAAGAAATAGGAATAGATAAAATTAAGTAAGTTACATATAATACTGATGCTATTTTTAGGCTAACAGATATACAAGTTCAAAATATAATAAAAGTTTATACTAACTCACAGAGTAAGAATACTATCACATCTGAACTTACTAAATTTCAAAAATTGATCTGTAAAAATAATTATGAACACATAAATAATTCTATTATTTTAGAAGATAAGGAAAAGATATCTGTTAAATTTATTTCTGCTGGTTTAGAAAAATTACTAGACACTGAGATAAATGCATCATCTTCAGATATCAAGAAAATTTTACCAGAAGCTGAAGTAAGTATACCTATATCTAGCTATCTTGTGACTGATTCTGATAATAAATCTTGACCTCCTATCTCTATTTTATCTGATAATCCAGAAAAAAAGTGAAAATCTGTTATTAATAAAGTGTTAAAACAATTTCAAAATTTATCTTTAAAATATAGTACTGGGAATAAAGATTACTTTATTTATTTAGAGATATATTTTATATGTAATAAAAATCATAAAAAAGAAAATATAAGAGATAATATAGAAGGTAGATAGAGTAGTAGTGATTTTGTCAATACAAGAACTTATTATTTGCAATGCTGTGAGACCTATCAAAATTCAATTCAAATAGTAATGGTAAAAGCGTAGAGCAATAAGTATGTAGGATAAATATAAGATTACGGACTTTTTATTTGACATGTTCTATGAGATACAGAGTATCATTTCTCTGAAATACTTCTATATTAATCTTACCTGTGATGTGATTAGTTGATAAAATTCTAACTGTTAACAGTTTTTTAATTATTCTAATTGGATAAATTACTATTCTGGAAAATAGGCTCTATTACAAAGCTTATTTTTATGATATTTTCAGATAGGAGAAACAATCTTTTTCTTTTTAACATGAATATGATTCTTTTGGAATTTTATTGGGTCAAGATCATACCAGTTTGAATCTGTGAATTCTGAATTGAAGCTGAATGAATCAGTCTCTGTCTCAGATTTGTTGTGAAATATTCCATAATATTTTTTTTATTACTTATTATTACAAAATAATAATCTTTCAAGTCTATCTTCAATATTTGAGAGAATTTTGTTAATTATATTTATAATCTCCTCTTGAGCTAGACCAGATTTAGATTCTGTTAATTTAGAGACAAAGTTCTATTACTTTGCAATAAATAAGTTATTTTTAGTAGAGCTGGCTTTATGACTTGGAGAGTCATTTATGGACCTGCTATCTTCTTTAATTAATAAAATACTCATACCATCTATTTCAATATTAGTATTGAGATTAAAACTCATCTTTACTTTATGTGCTCATAATCATTCTTGTTCTAATACCAGATTGAATATTAGATTCTTGTGAATCTCAAAGTCTATTAAATCAGTATCATGCAAACTTTACTATTTTCCTTTATGGTAGAAATATAAATCTAAGTAATTTATTTCACCTATTGCATCTTTATAGAGGTTTTTAATCAGACCACAAGTTAGAGCTATTCCATAATCTGTTCTAAGCCTATCAAACAGCCTCTTGCAAATAATATTAAACTTTAATGACATATCAATTAATGCTTTGACTAGGATTTTTCCTTTGATAAGTGTATTAATGAGTATGTCAAATATATTTAATGTTGTATATTACCATGAAAAAAATAACTCAGTAAATAATTACTCATTTTTTACTACTACATAAAATTATTTGTAAACCATGAATGATTAAGATTAATCTCACCAATCTCTCTAATATAATCATCAAATGCAGAAATAAAATTGATATTATGTATCTTAATACTAGTTCTATTATTATCTTATATCATCCCAATTATAATAGGAAGAGATATATCCATTTCAGAATCACTAAATTCAGACTCAGTCTCAGAATTGCTAGATTCAGACTCCATTTCAGAGTATTCTAAATCATAACATTCATTTAGACTATCGAAGTCATATTTATGTTTAGAAAATTTGGTTATTATAGCTTTTCTATCTAACTCTATTGTAATAAATTTAAGAAATAATAGCTTATAGAATATATGCAATAAAAGAGATAATTCTCAAATACTATTTCTTGCACGATATTAACTTTTTTCTAATTCTTATTTTTTGATATCTTTAGATTTATTAATATATAGTGATGGTTTTTTATACCTATCAACTTGATATCCTATATGCATTAACTATACATATCCTAAAACCAAATCATATTCAGACTTGTTAACAATTATAAAATTTACTATATCTATTCTCAAATATGAAGAAGATACTATATCATCAAATATATTTGGCAAAGTAACAGAAACTTTTTCTTTATCAATCCAATTTCTTCTCATTACTTTCTTGTCAACATTTATTGCACCAATATCAAGATCTTTTACTGTAAAATATCTTGATCTATATTCTCTAGAAATATATAAATCTATTTTTTTGGCAAGTGTTTTGCTAATATTATCATGCTGGAACTTAGGGTCAATTAGCATTTTAACAGTTATATTTTTATTAATAAATGTATAGTCTACTATTAATCTTTTGTAAATTTCTCTAATTGCTTTAGCTTTCCATATATTATCTAAACTATAGCAATATTTAAGATCTTGGATTGGAAGATACTTCATTATGAATAGTATTAATTCTGGTAAAAGAAGATTAAGTAAATTAGATATTGCTAATTAGTATATATTGGAAATAATTAATGTTCAGATAATTAATTTAGATATATATATTATTTATTTTTCAGGTATTCTTAATCATACTTAACTTTGCAATCAGCTCATTTAATGATAGGTCTGTTCTACATCTTTTGACTTCCATCTGATTATTAGATAACAATCCACAAAGAAAGAAATATCTAAGTCATTCTTTATTGTATCTAGCTAATTTACCACATTTTTTTATTTTTGCAAAATACTCCATTACTGATTCATTTCCTTACTTCTTAATTTCAAATTGGATCATATTTATTTAATTCTTTGATGATAAATTATTAATAAATTTTTCTTTAATCTTTTCATCATCCATATCTAACTCCAGTTATAATTTTATTTATTTAAAGTATTCACTCACAGACTTATCAAATTGTATAAGCAGTAGAATATTTTCAGTTTTTTCAGGTTCTGAAACTAGAAAGCTTGGATATGATCCCAATCAATTAATAGTATCTCTTAAATAATATTCTAAATAAGATTCTCATATTGTTTATTTTTAGAAATATATTAATATATTTAATTATATTTTTCCATATATTAATAACAATTAATTTATCATAAATCCAATAGTTAATAATAGCTATGAAATAATTACCTCTAGCAATAATATCTTGAAACTAGTATCTAAAATTGTTAAACAGATATCATATAGAAGAATTTTGATTTCTCTTTACCAATTACTGGAAATAGTGAAATCCAAGATTGGATTAGAGATTATTGACTTAATAGCAAACCTGAATATTTCTTAAAGAAATTATACATCATCTAAGGCTAAAAGAAAATGCAAAGATAGAAAAAAACTAATTTTTAATGATATAGTATCTGAGTTCTTATTTAGATCTGAATTGTTTAGCCACAAAATAACTATCTTTAGTAATAATAATGAAGATTTTACTGTGGATATGATAAAAATAAAGAAGCGTAATTAGTAATTATATAAGTTTATAATATTTTATATCTTAGTATTTTTTTTTCTTTAGTCATTGAAGCAATTGGTCTGTTATTTATCACATCATAATGTTTAACTAATAAAGCATGGCCTATCTTATGCCTACATGTCAATTACTATAAATATTGATGACCAGTATCATTCTTATCTCTATGTACTTTGGAAGTATGATCAGCACCTATTTTTCTTAACATATATAAGGTAATTCTATGATGACTTAAGAATTGATTAAGAGGTATAACATTAGTATTCCTATTCTTATCTTTTAACAAGAAGGGAAATTTATCTGGTATTAATCTCTAAATCCAGATAAGTAATTCTCTTGCCTGTATTAGATTTTTTTCTATTAAAAGAAATGGTTGAGATTCTTCTATCTCATCTTTATTTTTTGCATAACTAATACAGTACCAAGAATAATTAGAATTATACTATAACTTGTAACTTGATTTATATCAATTGATATGAAGATTTTTTACATCTGCTAATTATATACATAGCATTATTATTGTATCTATTAGATTTTGTATTAAAGGAGACTTGATAATATTATATTTGTTAAGTCTTTCCTGAACTTTTTCTAAGTAAAAGAACTCAGGACAATTGTAACTATTAATTCCACAAAGTATATGCTTTCTTGCTTAAATCTGATTTGCTTTTTCAGTAATAAAAGATATTTTTATTATCTTAGTAATGAGATAATCAGCTCCTAAGCTATGCAACTCTTTTTGTAATAAATTAAGACAAGAATTTCCTGCAACAGTAGTAGAAGCAGAAGAAGCCAAGTCATATACTATTCCATTTATTTCTTCAGATGAGAGATTATTTTTTATAATATCTTGGATAATAATTTTAATGGGATCTCTTTCATAAACATATCAGGAGCTTAAATAGAAATAAGAGTATCAGCTTGTTCTTTACTCAATCTCAACTCTTGAAAGTATCTTTTGACCTGATCTCTGACTTTTTGGATCTGCTCTTTTATTTTATTATCTGAAAGTTTATTAGCCAACTCTTTAAAATAACTATTAAGCTAAGGTAAACTAGTTTGAAAAGTCAATTTGTAGTAATTTATAAATGATATAGTGATTTTTGTCATGATTAGTATATGTTGATTGAGATGTTTTATATAGACTACTTTCATCTGATATATACTATGGAGATTCTTTTTTCAAATTGAAATTAATTATCATGAGTCAGTATATATATCCAAAATTGAATGGATTGCTGTTTGAGTAATCTTATCAAAAAATAGATGTGAACAAGATATGAATTTGATCAGATACAAAGTGTCATTTTTCCTGAAATAAAGTCTTGGAATTGATAACTCTCCATAATAAAATTACTAAAAATATCAATAGGATCAAAGAGGATATAGCATTACTTAAAGAGGCTTTGAAAAAAATAATTAATATATGTCAAGTACATAATACATATCTGTTAATTTGAAATTTAATAATATATAGATATAATGAAAAAATTTATAACTTTGAGAGTAGGATTTAGGCTATAATAACACTTTATAATATTTTATTTTTATTTTTTAATATAATTCTCAAATGATAATAGAAGAATTAAGATCTCTTCCCAATATACATATCTATTACATATTAATTTATTATATATTAGTTTATTGATTGCAATTATGCAATTTATTTTAGAATTATAAAATTTTTGACTTTCTTCAATAATTAGTCAATTTGAATAATTGCTCAGCAATAATTATTTCTTTAGTATATTTGGCTTTTTAGTATATAATTTATATATTTTTGTATAGTATATATGTATATATAGTATATAGTGTCAATATATATTCGATTATATTATTATGATATAGTTTTGAAAAGTTTAAATTGATTTTTATATACTATACATAAAAATATGAGTAAAAAATATAGTAGTATTTATACAGGATTTTATGAAATAAGAGATTATAAGTAATATTTCAAATACTATCTCTAATATATCATATATTATTGTAATCTGAAAAGATTTAAATTGATTTTATATTAAATATATTTATATAAAAAGTGAAATGGGTTTTATATATTATATATTAAAATACTTTGAATGAGAAATTCAATCTATCAATACATTAAAAGAGAGAGTTCAGGGTGCTTAACCTGTCTATATATTAAAAGAGATGATATAATTTGCAAAAAAAGTTATTGGCAAGATATAAGATATTCATTACATTAGAAATTATATGATAAAAATATAGTAAAATTTCCTTGTGAGATCTGTGAAGAATAAATAATTTCTGAGATGGGATATTATCCTAAACATGTGAAGAAGATTTATTTTCAAAATTAGTATGAGAGATAAAAGGTGCAGAGAATAGAAGCAGATAAATAATTGTATAGATTCTGATATTAAGTATCACAAAAATGATATTTGTAATAGGATATTTTTTACAAGTATCAATTTTAAGTATCACAAAAATAATCTTTATAATGGATTTTTTACAAGTATCAATTTTAAGTATTACAAAAATTCTCTTTGTAAAATATATCATGGACTCTAAATACTTGTTTTAAATAATATCAAATAAGTCCTGAGTATTTTGTGAGATACAATTAAAAGATGGTTCTAATTCATCAGGTAAGAGTTTATTATATTCATAACACATATCCTTATTATTCTCATAAAATTGCTCTTCATCTATTTAATATAGTAATAATTTGAAAATATCCTCATAGTCAAATGTTCTAACTAGATGATAATATATATTTTTATTATTAGTAGTTTTAAACTTTACTCTATAGATTGCAGAAAGTACTGAATTTAATAAATCAAGTTTTGCTTTATCCAATTTTAAGCTAGATTTTTTAGTGTTATGAGATGCATTTGTATTATCAAAAACCTGAGCCATTTTTGATACTAAATTTTGAAGGTATTATATCAATTCTAATGAGTTTAAACATGTTTTGACATCAATAACTTTATATCTATTTCAATCATCAATATCTTTAATGGGTATACAAGTCTTTAGTAATTCCAAACAAATTTAATGCTTCTCAGCTTGGATAACAGTTGTAAGTCTATCATTTCTATAATCTTCATGAATAATAGTCTCAACTGCTATCTCATTATTAGTGTCTGCATCTCGTAATTTCCAGAGATTTCTGAACTATTCATATGATCATATTCATTATAATCTGTAATAAATTCTTCAGTTATAGATTCAGATAATACTCCATAGAAATCTGCAATATGATACTGATTTAATATATATATTTCTTCTAAAGTCTTCTTTGACTTGTTTTCTAGATGTCTAGCTATCTCATGATTAAGAATATTGATATTAGTAATATCTGAAATTTCTTTTACTTTAATAGCTAAAGAATATCTCTTTACTGTTTCAGTTAATGTTACAGTATCATCTTTAGCTTTTGGAGTGGTTTTTACTATAGAAACTATCATATCTGCCTTTTTAAAAAAATCTATCATTCTTCATCCAAATAAATGATGAGATCAGAATTTTTCTAACATATATATCACCTATAATCGAATTGTTAGAATATTCTTATTTTGAATTATAGATTCTACATCTGGAAATATTCCTCTATTCTGAAGCTCTAGAGATAGAGATTCTTATTTTGCTTTTAATAATCAATTAAATAACTCTTCTTCCATAATAGGGATATTAGATGCTCTTTACTCAATATAATACATATAATTCTTAATATATCTTATATAAAATAGCATTTGATTTATTCTAGCATTTGTTTTGATATAGCTGTTAAAGAGATAGAATGCCTGCTCAAACTTGTAATTAATATAAGAAATACCTATTTTTAAAGTACTAATATATATAATGAGATCTATCTCTTTCTATATTTCATTAACATTATCAAAATCTTGAGCCTTTTCAGTCAGATCAGACTTATCATGATAATTTTTAATACATAATTCAGAAAAATAAATTTTAAGAGTATGAATAATTCTTTGTACATTCTTTCTGAGATGACAGATAAGAGATATACTTTTTTGTTCATTAAGAGATAATAAAAATATTTGCTTAATCTATTTTCAGAGTTTGACTAATATAGTTTCTTTATTAGAGACCAAGCAAAATGTTTTACCTTTTTGGGGTTGATAGATATTATGAATAACTGAAAAGAGTTTATTTCTATGAAGGTTTTTTATTTATTTAATATTAAGGTCTGTAAGATTATTATTCATAACAATAATTCACCTCACCTCTTGAATTAATTTATATAAATCTTTTCTTGATTGTCCTACTAAATGGGTATGAGCTTGAATAATTATAGATATTATTTCATCAAGCCATAAATCATATGGTATTAGAGAATATTTACATTTCTTCTCACATCTATATTTATTAATAATACAATATAAGCTCTCTATTTGACACACTACTCTTTGATAATCTGGAAGATTAATATTACTATCAATATCAATATATGATTTAAGATTGAGTCTTATAGTAATGGTACTAGAATAAGTGTATTATATAGATAATACAAGTAAATTTACATCATCAGGTATTGTAAGATGCTTTAAAGTATAAGTTTTTCCTGTCTCTCAAGGTGAGCCTATATATATATCATCTTCTTTAGGTAAAGATTCTATATATTGCTTCTTATACACTTCTGTCACAGTAAGAGAAGATTCATATTTAACTCAACTTGGCATTTCTAAAAAGAATTTTGAGAACTTTAGACCTTTTATTTTGGGATGGTTGGGAGTATTATTATTTTTTTATTAGATTTTTTCTGCAATAGATGGGTCATTAAAAATTTCTTCTCTTTCATCTTTATTTTACTGAAAGCATTTCATAATGAATGAACTATCATAATATATATGACTGAATCATTACTGATCCTTATTATATATACATTCACAAATTGAATATTCTAGATATGCTTTCTAATTAAAGTATACAAAATACTAAGAATCTTTTTTTTTGATATCCCACCCTTCAAGATAATCAGAATATTTTTGCAGAACTAGATTAGCATATTTTTTTAATAAATCTTGATCAATAATTATTTTTTTCTAATTTATTTTCTTTACACTAAGTATGCAAGGATATACTTCTAAATTCATATTAATTGATGATTGAACTCAGCTGTCATTAAGATTGTATCACCCATTATCTAGTGAGTATTAGAGAATGCACTTTACATGATCTTTTTTTGCTGAACCTATTAAGTGGAGATAGAAATTTTGACCAGATAACCCTTTATCAATAAACTTATCATATTTTTCTCCAGTTAATCTGTATACTAATTCTGTAAATTCTTTGAGCTCCTAATAATCAACAAGAAGAGTTGGAGCATATAGAAGATGATAACTGCATTTACTATCATCAGATGATATCATAATTACCAATTCTTTAATAATTTCTTCCTAATTACAATCAAAAATTTAATATAATACTCTTACAAATGAATAACAAATATTGAAAATCATATTTTTAGTATTAATATTTTCAGCTTCTATTTTTTCTTTAGATGCATCAATATTAATCACAACTTTTAAAGATTATTGTCTGTTAATACATTTATGAATTTCAGATAACTCATATATTTTAGATATATTATCTATAACAGAGAACTTTGGTGCTTGTTTATTTTTTTGGTTAATTTGGATAATTAATCTATTGATTAACTCCTCCTGTGTATATATATTGAGCAGACTAATTTCTTCTTTTGCTCTATAATTAGATAAGAGATAATTCCATAAATATATATCTTCTAATAATTCTTTATTATTCAATATATCTCTGGCAGATGAAGAAACGATTTTACAAATTTTATTCATTATATCTTTTTTGATAAATTTATCATCAAATCTTTCTTGCCATTTAGTATATGTTGAACTCGCTTGCTCTGTGGATGATATCATATTAGATACTTGTTCTTCTACTTTAGGGAATTGGGATATTTGAGACTTAATAATACTTATTTTAGTATCTGACTCATAGTCAGAACTATAGTTATTATAATTTTCTAACTCACTTTTGGATATATTATCACTATAGATATCTGAGTTACTTGAATAATCATTAGTTTCCCTATCCTTATACCACTCAAGTTATGCACTTTGTTCACTTATTTTTGATATTTGGTTTTTTATATGTTATGAATCAATCTTTATTTGATTATATTATTATAATATAGTTTGGAAAAGTTTAAATTATTTTTTCAGTTGATATACAGAGATATTAAAAAAAATGCATCAAGTTTTAGTGAGATAAATGAAGAGAATTGCAATCTTGATTAGTAAATACTTTGGATATATAAGTTTGGTAATATATTATAAGAATTATAGAAGTTATATATCTAGTTAATAGTATGTGCTTGAAGTATATAAGTTCAGTAACTCTACTATATAGAGAGAAAAATAGGAGTTATATATCTATTTCAATATATATTTTTAGGATATATAACTTCAATAATATTATATAATAATTATAGGAGTTATATACCTGCCTTCCTATATATTTAATCACTTTTTTATTATGTATATTCTCAGGATATATTTCTGATATCAAAAATTATGGTAATCAAAATTAGTATACTTTAATATAATATACTCGATAATATTTTTTGATAGCATAGTCTGATAGCATTATTAATAATATTATGTAATATACTTAGCATATATATTTAATAATATTAATTGATAGTATAATCTATATTATTTCCCAATACTATGTATATACTCTGGCTGATATACAAATTACAATCAGATTATCAAATTCATAATAACATGATCTGATAACATGTATATAGCATGATAGATATAGGTTTTACGTGATTAATTTTTTTATTATATATTCTATGCAGTATATAAAATGATAATAATACAAGATTATAAGAGTATATTAACTCAAATTATTGATAAAATTATAATGCAAAAGATTGAGAAGGCAGATTATGACTTTAAGCCAGATCAAGCTATCAATAAACTCTTAATACAGGAGATTAGAAAGGATTTCAAAGCTTATATAAAAAAGCTAGATGAAGAATATGATTCTGAGTTAGATTTTGATTTTATATCTATTTGCAAACTCACAGTTAAAAATCCTATTACTACTAATAATATATAAATTGCAAGATATACTTTTACTTTTTTTTATCTGTATTCTAGTAATAGAAATCAGTTACAGGTATCAAACTGGTATACAAGTAATATTATTGAATTTGGATTATAATAAAAAATACAGAAGAACTAGATTAGGATGTCATAATCTATCTATATATTATAAAATATATATTACAATATTAATGATAGTATCATATTCCTGTCATCAAAAATATATCATAAAATATATATCATGATACTGATGATGGTGTCACATTTCTATCATCAAAAATATGTCATAAAATATATATTATAACATTGATGATAGTATCGCATTTCTATCATTATAATACTGATAATAGTATTGCATTTCTGTTATCATGACACATACCTAAGACTATTATAGTCTAATCTAAGTTATTTTTTATTTATATAAATAAAAAATGACTATTTTAAATAAGTTAAAATTTATCTCTAATTATTAAGTACTATTTTATATTAAATATTAATACTTTGTTTTTAATTTTAAATATTATTTCATTTTAAATTTTATTATTATATATTTGAGAATATTATAGTTATCATTCTTTTATATTTTATTTTATTTGTAAAATTTATTAAGATAACTAATTTACTATATAATATATTTATTATATTAATTTTTCTTCTTTTATAGAATCTTCTTTCAAATAAGCAGAAATTTTTAGTTTAATTAATAGTTTGATATTTTATTCATAAGTTAAAAAAAATGATTTATATTTATTATTGAATTTTGATTAGTTTAATAAGTAAAAAGAATAATAGGAATGAAAATATTTTATTCTTGTTTATATACTATTATTATTGTAATATTATACATAGTATTTTATTAAAATATTCTATTATTCTATTAATTTATAAATAATACAAAAGATGAAAAAAAGTATTAGATACTTGATATTCAATAAAAATATATCTGTAATATTATATTTCTTGTCAATTCTGGTAATTATTTTTTATCATATGAAAATGTGATTTATTGTAATCATAAATTATTACTATATATAAGTTTTTTAATAAATTTATAAGTTATAAAGTCATATATAATCTACTATTATATAAATCATCTTATAAAATTTATCATATATAAATATATTATAAAAAAGAATTAATAGAGAGACAAAAAGAAAATATTATTATAGTAAAGAAACTTGAACATATGCATAGTAAGATTTCTAGAGTTATAGATTATTCTTATTCTTTAATATTATAAATATTAATAATACATGAATTTCAAGAATTTTTTAAGCAAAAAACAGGTTATTCATGAATTCTTAATAAATTCAAATATAAAAAACTCAAGTTTTCAATAATCAAAAACAAAAATATATATTAACAAACTTTTTCTCAAATATATTTAAACTTTATAAATAATAATATAAATATTTTTACACAAACTATTCATAAAGAATTAGCTAAAGAAAATATTTACTCTCATATTTAATATTATAAGTTATTAATTTTTGAAATCAATAAAACTAAATATTTGTTTTGAATAATTTCTCATGAATACTGGATAGTAGAAAATTTTAAAAACATTATTTGATCAAATAAATTTACCTATACATAATTTTAAACTTTAGGTTTTGAATATATTTTCCAGAAATCTTCAGAGGAGTTTTATAAAGATTATATTATAGTTATAATTAGACATAGTGCAGATTATATATTTTGAAGATATTTTTCTTGGATTGATTTAGATCTGCTAGTTTCATTAGTTGATTATATCACTATTACTATATATTATGAAATTCTTAGAAATTATGTTATTTTTATAGTTAAGATATATATTAGAAAAATTAAAAAAATTTCTCTTTTAAGAGAATAATGTATCTATTTATACTATAAAAACTATATATTTCTTTCTTTTCTTCTTAAATATAGAGCTGCTTCTCTGGCTGACTCAAAGTTTTGATCTTAATCCTATTAAGAATATTTAGTTATTTATTAAGATTAAGATTTATCAATATAATACACAGCCCTCAAGCATTATGTAATTAGAAAGATAAGTTAAAGAGAAATGAAATATAATACTGAAAAATTATTATCAAAATTTAATTAAATCTATATTATAGAGAATTCAAGCTATTATTATAGTGAATGGAGATCAAATAAAATATTAGCTTGTATTTTGTTTTTATAATAAATAAATAAAATTTTTGAAAATGATTAGCTTGTAAAATGATTCATCAAAATATTTAATACTTTTTTTCATTCTTTATATATAAGTTAGTGATGGGAGCTATAACTAGTCATAACTTTATTACATTTTTCTGATTGACTGCTATAACTTTATCATAATTCTCTGATTGACTATTACAAGCTGTAACTAGTTAAGGAGTCATCTTTAATATAAGTAATAATATTATAATAATAATAAAGATTAAGAGATAATAATAATATTAAAGAAAATAATAACTATAATGATATTAAAGTAATAATAGCTATGACAGATACAATAAATATGAATTTATATTATTAAAGATATTAATTAATAATAATAATTAAAGAAGAGAAGCATAATTTACATTTATTTAAGATAATAAGTATCACAAGGATATAAAAAAATATGATTATATTAATAGAGATGAATTAATATATTATTATAAGATAAATTTATATTATATAAGGAAGATAAAAATATAAATACTAGAATATTCTTATAGCTTATTAATTTTATCAAAATAAAAAAGATAGAAATTTATAATATTAGTAGAGAGAGAGAGAAAAAGAGATATAAAAATCATATTATTATATAAAGATTAATATATAAATAAAAACTATATGAGATTATCAAAAGAATTTTTAATAATATTATAAGAGTAATTAAGATAATAAAATAATTAGTATTATTTATTAAAATAAAAAAATAAAATAATTTTTAAAATAATAAAAAATTATCATATAAAAGTTAATATTTAGAAGGATATATTATAAATATAAAAACTTAAATTTATATTAATAGTAATATTAAGAAGAGATAATATTAAAAATTAATATTTAAAAGAAATATATATCAATAAAATTTGGGATCAGATTTAATATTGCTAATAAAAAGATATTGATATCTGGGAAATTGATAATAGAAAAAGATCATTAAATTTCAAATCTAATTTTTTTAAATATTTATTAAAATTTATAATTTTAATTATTAATAGCTTATTAAAATTAAAGATATATTAATAAAGAATATATTAATATAAAAGTAAATAATAATAAAAAAATATATAATTATATTAGAATATTTATAAATCTAATAATAACTTTCTCTTTATTATTTTATATTTATAATTATAGCTTTACTTATAATTAATTTTTAAATAAAATAAAAAACTTATATATCTATTCAAGAATATTATTATTAAAATTAATTACAAAAATATATTTTTAACAAAAGTTAAGAGTTATTTTTTTTTAAATTAATTCATTTTTTATTATTAAGTTTGATAGTTTTAAAATATGTTTTTAAGTTATATAATAAAAAATATAAAAAAACTATTAGTAAATTTATATTATAAAAATATCTTAATAAATATTATGATTTTTAAATTATTTACTAATAATAGAAAATATTATTTAATATTATTATTATATTAATTAAGTTTAGAATAGTATATTTAATATAATAAATTTATTAATAAAGTCTTACTTATTAATTTATATTTCTTTATAATTATTCTTTTAAGTTTATTATAATAAGATTCTAATAAATTTATTAAAATAACTTATAATAAAAGAAAAAAATATTAATATTATTATCATAGTAATATAAATTTCTTTAATTTCATGATTTTTTGAACTTGAAAAATTTGATCAATTAATTGATCTTTAGAAGACACATGATTTTGAATAATATAATTAGTATATTAATTATGAATTCAATCATAATTCAACAATATTTTTGCAATATTTTAAGATTATCAATAACTAATTAGTCCTGAAATTAATAATAGTTCACAAATGGTTTAATAACAATTCAGAAATACTTTAGAAATGATTCAGTAATGAATTTCATTTATTTTTATCATTTATCTTTTCTTTTTAAAATATATATCTTATCTTTTCATTTTATTTCATTATTTATATTATT